AAACAATTAAAAAAAAAAAAAAAAAAATCCTGCCAATTTTTTTTATATTCAAGTCCAATACGCTGTGCAATACAAAGCATCACACACACATGCACACAAAACCCATGAGATCTCTGAGAAGCCCAGAGAGCAGTAGGTCTCCCTGGAGTGGCACAGGGACCAACCAAATGATATATAACAGCGTTAAAAAAAATACTGCCAACAACTGTGAGGCAGTTGTTGGTATACTCTGGGTGTACTTCATTTGGCCAAAAGCCTGTTTGCAATTATATTATCATCTGGCAGCACCTCCAGTGCTTGGATTCTGTCAATRTTTCCAGTGCTTTTGCTCAGAACCTTCTTTTCTGTGGCTGGTCACCTAAACTTTTTTTTATTTATGCTGGCTTGAAATGTGACAGGGTATTTTTCACCATCAGTGCGAGTTATTATTGTTAGTACTTGCAGAAAATAAAATTACATTTCTAAGGCATTTGCTGAGAGYAACAACAAAAAGGATTTGGGGTCAGGCTCCAGTGCTTAGATGGTATAAACTGACTTTGTCCCTCCAAAATACCCTTTTTTTAAATTTCAGGCCTTTAAAAGCAGATTTTTTTCCCCTCAATTATTCTTTTCATTCCATTTTTAAATGACCTCCTTCATATACGTGGTCAATACATTCTATTTTATTAACTGTAGGTACTACGTGCAATGTGAAGCAAAAATTTCTACAGGGRTTTTGCTAACACTGCAGACGTTAAATAACAAACCCTGCTATGCAAGGAATGGGCAGAAACTCCTCTATCCAATGTCTCCTTAATAAAGATGGAGCTGAATTGTTCATAGTCTGTTATAGACATTCTGGGATGCCTGTTAGGATAAAAGGAAGCCTAATAAAGGCTAGAGTTTGTTTTTTTCCCCTGTATTAATATTACAATAGGTCTAGCCAAGTGATTATGGTATCAACTTTGAAGGAGGATTTTGGACAGCCATGAATACTGCAGCACAAGCCCAAGGCCAGGAAATGGGCTTGTGTGTCATTATGCAGCATGTTTGCTCTGTACTGATAAATTATTTCACTTGCCAAGATGCTTGTGCAGTGGGAATACTTATGTGTAGTGCTATTCTTGCTGCCCGAATCCCCAGCCAAACAGAATACGTGACAGTAGTAAGAACAGCTTATAAAGTCCTGGCAAAAATACCTGGAAGTGCTCTGATGTCAATAAAGAGAGTGAAATGGTTTATTTCACAGCATGCTATGGGCCAGCAGATCTCATTCCATGCTAACATTGAGGATTTTTCTGCATTATTTTTTTAAGCTCCCATTTAAAACAGAAGTCAGAGCCAGTCTAGCAAGGCTAAAGGTCTCACTGCAGTGAACATGGACAGGCCTCTGTGGCTATACCCCGGCCTCCCCGTCTGCTCTGCAGCACATCTCAGCTGCACGTGGGATCTCGAGACCTTAACTTAGGTGTCCGTCCTCCACCGAGTAATCCCTTGGCCATCAGTGGGATCGAAAGACCAAAGAGTATCAAGGAAAATGACCGAGTTTCCTGAAACACTGAGACACTGTTTGTGGAAATGTGTACTTTGGACAACCTCTAGCTTGGCAGCAGGGGAAACCAGGCCGAGCAGCGGCCGARGGCTGGCACATGCCTCAATCTGCCTTCTTGTGTCCCCTGTTCTTTTTTCAGAGGCTCATCAAAGCTTTTATTTTAATTAAAAAACTGTAATTCTCTTTGCCTCCCACTCACCAGAGCTGAAGCACCAGCCTGGCCTCGGCACAGAGATACCATGCAGGCCACAAGTGATGGGTGCCTCCCATCACCTGGGACGTGAGGAAGGGGCCAGAGCAGGCAGAAATTGCTCTGAGTGGCACGAGCAGCACGAGGGCACTTGCTCCTCTCTGGTAGCATGGAGGCACCATGGATAGGCTGCATTTTGATATTGCTCTTGCGAGACTGGGGACTAACCCACAAGGCTGGAAGCTGGTAGGGTTGGGATGGAGCTGTGCATGAAGTGGCTGCAAGGAGCTGTTTTGAAGTTGCCCCAAACCTGGAGTCCAGTGAGGGCACTGGGGCATGGGCAAGGCAGATGCCTTCCATCTTGACAGCCTTTCTTAAGGCTGGTGGGGATCTCCAAAAAAAAAAAAAAAGAAGTTTTAGTTGCCTCTAAGACTGCTATTTGAAATGGAATAATAGGCTGGTAGAAGAAAATGTGACATTCAGTTATTACTGAGCTGTGTGGAATTAAAATCAGGAGTCCCCTCGCAARGCAGTATTCCTAATTCACCAGTTCTCTCCATTTGCAGGAAAGGGGTTTGACCAACAGGAATTGCAAAGAGATTGATCTAATGGCATTAAGGTTAGGTCAGAGATAAACAAGAACCCTCTTTAGATGTCATGTAGGTGGCAAAGCGACCTGCCTTTTGGCTGGAAGTACAGGAATACATCAGTCCTAAGCCCTGAAGAAAGTGTTATGATCATCATGTCTACCCCTCTGCACAGCACAGGCCAAAAGATCTTGGTGCTGGAGGGACACCTAATCCATCAGAGGCTGCTCAGGCTGGAAGACCCACTGGATCTGGGGAGCATTTGGCAGATTACTTGTAGGAAGCAGCTCATGCCCCTGACAATCCGAACCACAGGTTTCAAATGTGGCTTAGGCCTGTGCCCACGAGGCTAAGCTGCCACAAGAACTAGCAAGTCGACTTAGCATTTCAGTGCCACTGGAAAGGCGGGATCCCATTTCCCTCGCTGTTGCTCCCTTGCCCTGGCTGCCAGCCAAGGGTTTCTGTGGCTCACTTTGCACCACCAGCACGGTCTGTGGACCAGCTCTCTCCTTAGAAAGACACCAAACAAATCCACCGAATAATGGGGGCATTTTCTGCCACTTTTATTAGCTCACCCAGCTCACAGAAGGGCCTAAGGAGAGGCTGAGCTGGAAAAGGGACGTTACAGAAGGTTTAGGAGCTGCAGGAAGAAAGGTGAAGGATGAGCAGCTTATGGGGAGCAATTTTCTCCCTCTCATCATCAGACAGTCAACAGCGCAGCAGGGCTGCCCACAAACCCAGACACGCCGCGTTGTCGTTCACTGTCACTAAAGCAGACAAGCTGCAGAGCCACTGGGCAGAGAGAAACTCTTGGAAAATTTTTGCTGTTTTTCCCTCCCCACAATGCCTAGTGCAAGTGAGAGAGCAAGGTGAATGATAAACCGTGATAAACAGTAACCCATTTCTTTGAGAAATGTGCCCGAGTGAACCCATAATAAGGTGAGGAATTTTTAACTAGATTCAGTAAGTTCTGCTAACCTAAGATAGAAGTTATCAAAACACTTCTCCGGTGAGCTGGTAATTAAAGTTTTTCGCATCAGTGCATCCAGGTTACTGGAAATTCTCTGTCCACCTGTAAATACCAGCTGCTGTTTTACTGATTACTTTGCTGTGTGTCCAACAGGATGGTTTGTGGAGAAATAAATAAGGAAGGTAGGGAAAGGCAGTACATTTCATTAGGTTCAAGATCAGCCTAAACACAGGCTGAAAGCATACTCTTTTTTAACTTAGCTGATCTACTAAAAGATATTACTTCTTCCTACATGCCTTGCTTTACTGCCCCATTTATGAGAGAATTTGTATTTTATCTTATCTTATCTTATTTTTAAGAAATTATTCTTACACCTTAATCCACGTGTTCCAGTTATCCTCAGTGTCTTTTTCTCAGCACTTACTCTGCACCTGGTCATGTCCCTTCCCCAGGTTAATTCATATACTTTCCCCTTCTTCTGCTAAGGGTAGCAGAAGACATGTCTGAACCTAACAAGTCCAGGACTTCCCCAAGCATAAATTAGAGCAGCTCCCTGGAAGTCACATTATCCCACTTTCTCCAGCCTTTATCTTTCCAGGAGCCAGGTCTAAACAARAAACTCTTCAACACGAAACCTGCTAATTTTGTATGGCAGAGCTTTCCATCAATTCAGACATCTAAATGGGCCTAAAATACTCCGCAAAGAAGACAAG